CAGCCACTTCTTTAACTTGTGAAAGGTTCAGTATTCTTTATAAAGGCCACCGAATAGGCTCATCCATCAGCAGATAAAGAGAGCTATAGAAGGATGCTGACGGTCCCCCTGCATCCACTTCTGTGAAACCGTTTGGAGCGGAGAGGAGACTTTCAGTGGGTGTAATAATACAATTCCCTTGCAGGCCTAAAGCTTCATCTCACACTATCATATCTCTGTGTTCAAATACAGCAGGAAGGCAGAGTGGACTCTATGATGATAGATCGTCTGTGGATATACGAAAATGATGAGAAACTTGGCACTGCCTTTTGTATTGATTGTTTTTGGTGGGTAACTCTTCAAGAAAAAGAGCCATGTCGTTTCACCAGTGAAGATGTCAGAAGTGGGACTGAGCTGTAGAAGCCTAATCGAGGGGAGGGGGTGGGGGGTTAGTGAGCAAAGAAAATGTTCTCCTTAATGGACAGAAGGATGAAAGATTACAGAGGGGGCAATGTTTCCACTAAATCTGATCTATGTGACAGAGGAGTTTGCTTTATGGGAGATTTCTTGTCCAGGCGAATGTTCAGAGGCGAGGGCTGTTCACAGACAGACTTATTGTGATATGTCCCTTTTTTCTAGATGCTGGTGCACATCAGAGAGCACTTAAGCCTGCGATGCTTCAGGGGAATTTTGAAAATGACCCTTCATTAAACACAACTATAGTGGCTTCTTCAACATACATACATTTCAAGAAACATATTGTACAAAAAATATTCTGAAAAAACGATGCCGTGAATTGGTGTTTGTCCGCATTTAGAGCGGTAACCTGATAGATTTACTCTACTAACCCACTGATCATCAACTTGTAAAGTGGTTCGATTAAGTTTTCTCAAAATATATGTTGTTTTTGGGAAGGCCTCCGAAGTTTAAGAACATTGGTAAAGAAAAAGCAACGAGAAGCTCAAATCGGGATTAGGTTATTGAATCACATTCCTAGCTTTGAAAATCTCATGGTACAAATGTAAACCAAAAATATACGGTGCAGTACCTGACCTACCAGTCCTGGCAAGGAAGCATCAATAGAAGAACCCACGCTGGGTGCTACATACTAACAGTCAGCAATGTCTGGTTTTTTTCTCATTAAAGGTGCATAATCATGTTATATGTCAATGCAAAAACAAAAAACAAACATTTGATGATGACAAAGTAAGGTTATATACACTAAGCATCCTTTTGTGAGCCTAAATAGAATTCCAGCACAGGGCGCAAATAGTAGGCATGAACAGATGTGGTGCCATCTGCTGGCAGATACACAGAACTATCACCTCGAGCTCAACCGTGCTGCAATACCTGTCTACAGCAACTCTGAAGCCAGGTTTATATTTGACATATTCACAAGGTCCTATTGGCAAAGTAACATTAAAATACTGTAGTTTTTATGTGGCACACTTTCTGCACCTCACACCAAGAAAAAAATTGTAACTAGTCTTCTCTTATTAACAAAACATGGAGGATGAGAAACTGTTCCTACTCGCAAGGGTTTGGAGAAGAAAACATCTAGAGATATCTTATGATTCAGCCCATATATTTCTCCACAATCAATAGATTTTTGAAGGATTAACTGTCAGTCTTGAACAAAAAGAGGCATTGAAAACGTTGGAAACTGCTATGTTTACTAATTCTATATTTTTTTCGGTGTTCTTAGCATGCAGATTGTTTTTCTGGGCTTTTTGGATCTATTTAAGTTTTCCTTTTGAGTTTTCAGTTACACTTTGGTTTATGTCATTCTGTGTTTTCTAGGTCATTGGTTTCATTTCCATTACATTCTAGTTGTTTCCTGATTGTATTTGAGTTCTTATGCATTTCTTATTTACTCTCTGCTGCCCCCTTGTGCCAGTCTCCTTTTCCCTAGCTCCCTTCTAGATCCTTCTATCCACACCTACTCCCAATCAGTTGATTACTCAATTCTTTGTTCTGTTTGGCATATAAACTCCTCCTCTGCAGTTACTGGTTGCAGGATTCTCTTCATTCCTTCATTCCATCCCAAACCTATGTATTTCTCTTTGTTCTGGTTCCTATGTTCCTAAATTATTAATTTCTGGATTTATGTTTCTGTTGCCACCACTCCTATACATATATATCAAATTAAATCTGCAACAAACCACCTCAACTTCCATCTCTTCAGTTCGGTCCTCTACAAACCTCCACACAACCAGAGACTGTTTGAAGGCGTTTTTTAGCAGCACAAAGTCTCTCCCAGCACTGAATGGTGGACTATGCTAAAAACATAGCGCTATATAACAATAACCATCCAAATGGCAAACAGTCTGACAGTGTGTCAAAGCGACATACACTCACCGGCCACTTTATTAGGTACCCCATGCTAGTAACGGGTTGGACCCCCTTTTGCCTTCAGAACTGCCTCAATTCTTGGTGGCATAGATTCAACAAGGTGCTGGAAGCATTCCTCAGGGAGATTGGTCCATATTGACATGATGGCATCACACAGTTGCCGCAGATTTGTCAGCTGCACATCCATGATGCGAATCTCCCGTTCCACCACATCCCAAAGATGCTCTATTGGATTGAGATCTGGTGACTGTGGAGGCCATTCGAGTACAGTGAACTCATTGTCATGTTCAAGAAACCAGTCTGAGATGATTCCAGCTTTATGACATGGCGCATTATCCTGCTGAAAGTAGCCATCAGAAGTTGGGTACATTGTGGTCATAAAGGGATGGACATGGTCAGCAACAATACTCAGGTAGGCTGTGGCGTTGCAACGATGCTCAATTGGTACCAAGGGGCCCAAAGAGTGCCAAGAAAATATTCCCCACACCATGACACCACCACCACCAGCCTGAACCGTTGATACAAGGCAGGATGGATCCATGCTTTCATGTTGTAGACGCCAAATTCTGACCTTAACATCCGAATGTCGCAGCAGAAATTGAGACTCATCAGACCAGGCAACGTTTTTCCAATCTTCCATTGTCCAATTTCCATGAGCTTGTGCAAATTGTAGCCTTAGTTTCCTGTTCTTAGCTGAAAGGAGTGGCACCCGGTGTGGTCTTCTGCTGCTGTAGCCCATCTGCCTCAAAGTTCGACGTACTGTGCGTTCAGAGATGCTCTTCTGCCCACCTTGGTTGTAACGGGTGGTTATTTGAGTCACTGTTGCCCTTCTATCAGCTCCAACCAGTCTGGCCATTCTCCTCTGACCTCTGGCATCAACAAGGCATTTCCGCCCACAGAACTGCCGCTCACTGGATGTTTTTTCTTTTTCGGACCATTCTCTGTAAACCCTAGAGATGGTTGTGCGTGAAAATCCCAGTAGATCAGCAGTTTCTGAAATACTCAGACCAGCCCTTCTGGCACCAACAATCATGCCACGTTCAAAGTCACTCAAATCACCTTTCTTCCCCATACTGATGCTCGGTTTGAACTGCAGGAGATTGTCTTGACCATGTCTACATGCCTAAATGCACTGAGTTGCCGCCATGTGATTGGCTGCTTAGAAATTTATTGTTAACGAGCAGTTGGACAGGTGTACCTAATAAAGTGGCCGGTGAGTGTACCCTGTCTTTTAGAGATAGTTTTAGGATAAGTTTTTAACATAATTTATCCATCCTTTTCTTTTTTTTATTCAATAACCTAGGTTCTAGTTTTGTTAAATCTTCTAAAGATGTATATTTTCATAGTGTGTAAGAAAACTTGAGTTTCTGTTTATTCAGTATTTTATATAGCTCGAAAAATAAGTTGTTAAAATATTGTTGCACTATTTGTTTAAATATAGCATATTGTAACAAAAAATATGTAGGTGCTTATATAAAATGGAAAGATCAAAACTGATGTTTCTTTTAAAAAAAGTCTTATTTAGATTATCAACTATATAATTAATCGATAACTTGCATCCGTACTGTAAACATTGAACATCATAATCACATCTGCATTAACATACTCAAATGCAGTCTCTTGATTCACAATGGAGCTCTTTTAAATTCCCAAAATCATCAGTCTGCTCTCTGGACCTTGAATTTTGTGCATCTACAACCGCTTCTTGCTTGCTGTTCTTTGTCTATTATATAGCATGGCTAGTGCTAGCAGTTTACTGCTAAAAACAATCCAATGATTTGATTTCAGACTTGGGGTAGGGGTGTATATCACAAACATCATGGCGATTCGATTATTTTCAATACTCTAGAATACGATTTGATTTGATTAATTGGTATATATATATATTTTTTACCTTACAAGCTAGAAAATGTTTCAATTTTTAAATAAATAAATTAAAGCTGTAATATCGTTATGTATTTTATTTGAGAAATAACAGCAAATAACAAAAGTAGCAAAGTTGTACTCCACCTAGGCCTATGAAAACCTCATTTACTGAAAAATAATAATGCCTCTAAGATTCTGAAAGGCCTTGCATAAAAAAATACGGCAAGCAGAGAGAGGGTAGTGGCTAAAGGAAGTGAGGTAGGAGGCCAAAATAGGTTTAGCGCCTCCCCAGCACTGGAGTCAGAATTACGTCCAGGAGCAAATGGATAAAAATAGACCAGAGGAGAAAATAAACATGAACCGATACACTTGCAGACATGTCGATGCATCGGATCGTCGGCTGTTGGATCGATGCATCAATACAAAACGATCATTATTTACAACCCTACTAGGGGGATGGTACAAATCCATTCACATCTATGCTTTTTTACTACTTTTTTCCCCTTAGTAGCAGAAAAATCACATTAAAAAGCATAACAGTAATGCTTGTTATGTGATAAAAAATTAAAAATGTTTCTCTATACTTACTTTTTTTTTTCTCTATATACTTTTGCTGATTTTTTTATATGATTGTGGACACCTGATGTCACAACTTTAACCTTCTCTTCTTAAAATGTATTTGCATCAGGGAGATGAGGTGACATATAATTGAAAAGGGCAATCTAGACACGGCCAGACAGGGATTGGGAGCATCCATCTCTGAAACTTTTCAAAATAGATTGAAATAATAACTCAGGGATTACCAGTATGACAGAGTAGAGCTTCTTCATCTCGTCGCAGGTCTTCGTCAGCGACTCGAGCTGCGCGTTGTACTTCTCAATTACCGTCTGCAATAAAGTGAGGAGCAGAAAGAGCTTCAGTTTTTTTTAAAACACAAAACACACACACCTCTAGCCTCGTGAGACCATCCTGATCTCGCGAACCTTCAAGGTTTCACTCGCTAATCAGTCTGGAGACTCTCTGTTAAAGAAAATTTGGAGCCGTTCACCAAACGAACGTCCAATCAGCGTTGGCTTTGAGGCGGGTTGAGGTGTGACGCAACGAGAAGCGACCACAGTTAAGTCTAAAGAACATGGCGGCTTCAGCCGATGAAACTAGCGTTAGCGTGGCTATCGAGCAAGTTTTATCGGAATTACAGAGTATTTCTTCACTGAAAGAAGAGCAAAACACTGCTCTGGAGGCTTTTCTCAGAGGAAAAGATGTTTTTGCTCTTCTTCCGACTGGTTTCAGCAAGAGTAGCCTGGCTGTTAGTACGTCATATGCTTCGTTGATCTGATTGGTTTATTTGGCCCGTCTATCACCAACATAGGCCAATCAGCTAACCAGTATTTTCGCCTCTTCCCAAAATTACTTAAACGGAAGGTTTCCAGATGGATATGCGGAGCAAATCCATCTGGCGGAGTCAGGTTAGCCCACCTCTTTGTTTGGTAAAAATAGACCTGAAAAAAAGAGCAGAAATTAGATCATAAATATATATATTTTTTTTTTAAGATTCTGGTTTTGTAAAAAAATGACAAAAACTTGAAAAATAGTAGATGAGATTTTAATTTTAAGAGGCAATTGTGGATAATTAAAGCACTGAACATCATATCCAATAAGGATAAACAACATATCTGCAGGTATATAATTATTACCAGCAGCTATTAGACTTTATAAACACCACTGATTCCAACAACCTCAAAAAGTTGTTACATTCATGCTGACTCCGCACAGTTTCTACCTTAGTCAGTTAAATAGCATGCCGCTGTCATTTTGAACATCTCTGATTGTAATGATCTTGGTTCTGTTGGTTTTCTCTAAGTTTACAGTTTCATGTTTTTCCATGTTTTCTTTTCTAGCTTTGATGTGTTCTGGATTTATTTTAGTTTCTTAGGTTTTTCATCGCTTGTCCTCTGTTGCCCCCTTGTGTTTTCTTTTCCTTTGGCTTCCTCGTCAGCTCTACTCACACCTGCTCCTTATCAGCTCGTTAGTCCTGCCTTTGTTCAGTCAGCCATAAATACACTCCCTGTTCGGTCCACATTTTTAAGTTGGATTTTTGGATTACTGTTTGGCTGCCTGTCACCCTTAATTAAACCTTAAAGGATCTCACCCCTGCCTCTCAGCTTCTGCTTTTGGGTCCTCACAAAAACTTTAAAACCAAATCTTGACACTGATGTTGCTGCTTTTTTCCAATATTCATTACTGTAAAAATGTCCATAACTGTATTTTGGTTATTTATTCTCCAGGTGCATGGTTATATATTGTTAAAACCCTTTAAAGGTGTCATGATCTGGCCTGTTTGCTCTCCTTTAATTAGTCATTCCTTTCACCTGTCGTTTTCCCTCCCTGCCTCAATTATAATTTATTCCTCTCACCTGTGTCCTCTAGTTTATATTCAGTTCAGCCTGAGCGTTCAGTGCCAGATCATTGCTTGTCTTGCTGTCAGTCTTTCTGTTCAGTTTTATTTGGTTCATGTCCTGGATCCTAGCTGCCAGTGGAGAGAGGGTTTTAGTGTTTGTCTCCTCTCCTGATTGTCCACTGTTCCTCCCCCGCGGAGTCCTCTGGGTTTTTGGCTCATTTTTGGGGGAGGTTCAGTTTTTATCCAATAAGCCTGGCTCCAGGGAGGAGACCAGTTTAAAGTCCTGCTTCAAGTTCTGGTTCCACGTCCTGTCTCGGCTACCCTCTTCCACTGAGCCTGCCTGTCTGCACCTGGTCCTGTCTGCTCCTGTGCGGGACATCTTGGTCATGCTTCCAGTAATATTGGGCGGTGACATCACCCCCCCACCCCCCACCCCACCCCCCGCCTGCAGTGTCCGCGAGCCACAGCTCCACTTTTGTTTTGTTTTATTTATTTAATAAACGTTTTGAACTTTCCTACTGACTGTCTCGCCTTGAATACTGGGTCCATCTGTCCTTGGTTCCTGAAAAAAGTAGAGTATTTTATTGTTTATCTTTTAACTCTTCATTAATATGTTATTCCTTTACATTTCTATAAGGTCCACATTTGTGTGACAATTTTTTCTTTCATATTTTTGCTGCTGTAAACACCAGAATTTCCCCATTGTGGAACAATAAAGGGATTTTCTATTATATTCTCGCCCAAAGTTGGTTAGTTTTAAGCATATCTGTGTCCATCCAAAAGAATAAAACAAATATACATTTCAATTTAGTTGCTGCAGTTGTTTCAGAGGTGTTCAAGGGGTTGGGACATACATACAATCAGTAAATATTGGGTATAAGCAATATTGGTAACATTCATTGCAGATATCAGCACTTTTTTTTACATTGGGGCTTCCCTAAAAAAAGCTTTTTGAGGATTTGTTTGATGCTCAAACACAAAAATAATCAATGAAGAGGCAGCGTGGAAGGAAAAAAAATTATGTTGGAAATTCTGGACAAAATAAATATATTGTGACAACAGAAAGGGGGGGGGATGTGGTATCACATAGCAATTTTATATAAATTTATCACAATGGAGGCATTTTCTATCAAATGAAAAAATAAAGGAAAAACCTTGTCTGCTGTTTAGCCTACATACACAGAATAAAATATAAGATGCAAGCGGGAAAGATGCAAATTAACATCATTATGATACATTACTAAAGCTGTCTGCTTAGCATAAAACACATGGAAACAGGACTAGGGATGTTTTTTTTTTCTGATGTATGGTTTCAGACAGCAGGTCTAGTCTGCTCCCACATGACTGAAGCAGCCAGTAATACTTAAGTTTGTTTTTGTCTCTCTGTAGAAATTATTCAAAGGAGTTTTAAAGATTCACCAGAAACCTTCCTGTCTGCTTTGATGGCCATAGAGAGTTGTGCTGGTGACAAAATTAGACTTGTTTTCTCTTTTAAAGAAAATAATTCACAACTGTTTTCTAAAATGGGATCGTTTGCCGCATCTTTTTTCCAATTTTGAATAACAAAGTTTAGCTGATCTATTTTAATTCCTGAATAGATCATTATATTCTGTTGTTGTCTGGCTCTAAGACCACAACAAATGAAAGCAAAGGAAAGCAATGCATGGGATAACTTAATATTACGTGAGCAAGGGAGTGTTGGCCTAGTGGGTTAGATAGGGTGACCAAACGTCTGTATTTCACGTCCTGTCCCGGGCGTCCTGGTTTTTTTTAAAAAAAGTTAGGAAATGTTCTGTTCTGTTGCGCATGGCGCTGCGTGTGACGTAATCCCTGAGTCGCGTCAGTGCGGGCAGCCCTGTTCTTAATCAGAATATAGATTGCATGGCTGTCAGTACGCAAACAACATGCCAAAGCGCAAATGTATAGTTACCGTCGATTTACAAAAGAGTTTTCCTGCTTTCAGAGCGGTTCGAGACACATTGGATGCCTTGTGCACAGTGTGCAAAGCAGGCACATATGTCTTGGTGTCCAATGGAGGTGCAAGGGATCTGAAAATCCACCTGGACTCCGAAAATAAAGATAGTCTATTGATATGTTTGTTCGTTTTTGGTACATTTTGTGTTATTTTTTCTACACAAGAGGTATTTTTTGTTAATTAGCTCATTTGTTAATTTATTTTTTACCAATAGCCGACATTATTTCGTTTATTGCTGAGGCTGAGTATCATGTGTTATTGGGAGTTGAGAGTTATTGTTAACTTTTATTGTTAAGTGAGGGATGTTTAGATGAGACATTATTTCTTTCATTGTGCTATTCATTCATTACAGGAATTGTTAAGCAAAGAACTCATGCTCTTCCTCAACACTGAAGTCCCTGAGCAGACGCTGAATGCGCACTTTCGTCTGGTTTGGTCTGCCGCGGTTTCCGTAGACTCATGAACGCGCTTTTAGGAAATCCTATACACTACTGTTTATGCTCTAAAAACATTCTAAATGACTTTGTTTAGAGTAAATTCTGGACGCTACCCACTCAGGACACTTGGAATACATTGGACGAGCAGTATGGAGGAATATTGACACGTTTTTTGTGGACGTTTATGGACCTTTCTGCCTCGGGCGCCATAGACCTCCATTATTTGAATGTCAGCAGACAGCAAGAAGCCTCCCAGATCTCCAGATGCATTTGAGATATCAAAAAAGTACTCCAGAGTGTTGTTCAGCATGGGGGTGAGTAGAAAATGAAGGCTAATCATGTTTTGGGTGTACTATTCCTTTAACCCCCCACTGCTCCCCATTGCAGAGTGAATTCCCCCATTGTGGGACAGTAAAGGGATTTACATTTACACCAATATCAAAAAGGAATGTTTTTTCTGCCTATTAAGTGTGGAGAGATGTAATTCTTCACCTTAAGATCTTTAGAGAAGTGTGGGTGATGAGCTCCAATGTCTCTCTTCTTAATGGTTTTTCTGTATTGAATAACTTTCTGGACTTCATTCTTCAGTACTGTGAAAAGACAATCATACAACAGGAACAATATTACCTGAGACACTGTGGACCTCAGATAAAAAATGTCTGTTTTAATAAAGTATACTGAAAATGCATTGAGATCTAGAAGGCTAAGCAAACGTTCTATCAAATCCCTTCTACTACAGCAGTATACTGTAAGCCAGGGGTGCCCAACCAGTCGATCGCGATCTACCAGTCGACCGCGGGCGTAGTTTCAGTGGATCCGTGCCCAGCTCGAGGAGGCAGGTGCAGACTACACTGATCTGCTGATGCACACAGACTTTAGGTGCAGATTCCTCAAAAGATTTTTGGAACTTTTGCCCGAAATTAAAGAGTTTCTGAAACAGTCCACAACCCATTCTGCTGTATGTTACATCTTCACATCCACATAGTTTGTTCTCAGTATTTTCCTTTTTTTATCTGTTTTCCTGTTGAATTTTAATCCATCTGCCAGTTTCAATGCCAAGAAGTTTATCATTCTGAAATAGTGGACTTCCCTTCTCCTTCTTCCTACTTTGAAGGGATCTTAGACAGATTTTATTTGTCATTTTGTTTATACAAGTGTAAAACAAAAAGAAATTTAGTTTGGAACAGCTCTCTTGACAATTTCATCTTTTTTAAAAGTGCAGCCTTGAAAAGTAGTTAAAAAAAAAAAATAAAAAAAAAAAAAAATAAAAAAAAAAAAAAAATATATATATATATATATATATATATATATATATATATATATATATATATATATATGTATATATTCCCAGGCCTCTGGTAGAGGACCCGAGCTCGAGGATGACACATACCACCCCACGAGGGGTGAGAAAACAGTTTGGTTTTTTTTTTGTTTTTTTTATAAAAACAGTGATATAAACGTATGACTGTAAATTTACAGTTCTAATGTTTTTTTTTTTCATCTCTACTAGGGATGCAGGATATAATCGGCCCCCTATCGGTATCGGCCTTAAAACTGAATATCGGACATCGGCCACCCCACCGATATTTAACCCGATATTTGATCAGCTTCTGACTTTGTAAAGTCTAAAAAAAAAAAAAAATACTACTTCTTCTTCTTCCTCAAAAACTTCTTTTTTACAGACTTAAAAACTCCTAAAGACGGGGGAAAAAATATTGATACATTAAAATATTCCAATATCTTCATATGCTGATATATTGCCATTTAAAAACACCATATCAATCTCTTTTACTAATGAAATATTGCTATATGTCATCGTTATGCTACGAAATCCCCCGAAAATTCACGAAATGTTGCCATATTTTTATATGTTGATATATTGACGCGGTATCGATCTAACAAAATCTCACCAGAATTTGCAAAATATCACGAGAGTTTGTAACAGAGCGATGAAATTTCAATAGATTTTGAAAGTAAAATAGATCGATACCGCGTTTTTAAAAATCAATTTGATATCAGCATATGAGAATATATTGGAGTATATTATTTTTCAAAGTGTCAGAAATGGATAACAAAACTGCTATTTTCAATGACTACTTATTTTTGTCCAGCTTTAACATCGGTATCGATATCGGTTATCGGCTACATGAGTTTTAAAATATCGGCATATCGGATATCGGCCAAAATCCCAATATCGTGCATCCCTAATCTCTACTGGACTGTGTGTGTGTATGAATTGGTTTATTTTGATTTTTTGACTGCACAGCCTTTGTCTGGTACGGAAGAGGATTAGGGCCACTGAAAAAAAAAAGTAAACTGATTTTTAAATTTTATTTCAGTTTAACATGGGAAAAAAGTCAGAATTCTGAGATTAAAGTCAGAATTCTGACTTTAATCTCAGAATTCTGAGAAAAAAGTCAGAATTCTGAGATTTAAAGCAGAATTCTGAGAAAAAAGTCAGAATTCTGACTTTTTTCCTATACTATACTGAAATAAAATAAAATAAAAAATCAGTTAACTTTTTTTTTTTTCCAGTGGCCCTAATCCTCTTCCGTAGTCTGGAGATCTTGACTGCTCTTTTCTGTAGTTTTTAGTGAGTGAGTGAGTGAGTGAGTGAGTGAGTGAGTGAGTGAGTGAGTGAGTGAGTGAGTGAGTGAGTGAGTGAGTGAGTGAGTGAGTGAGTGAGTGAGTGTGAGAGAGATATGGTGTGAAGTTCTTATAAGATTAAGTTCTGTTTTTGCAACCTATTTTTTGAAACAATTGATAATTTCCTCGTTTGTTGGACTTACTGTTTATTCTCCACCTGTGCAAAGGAAAAACAAATACTGCCCATCCTTTGTGTTTGGCTTGATAGATATCGGCATGCCATCAACTTCAAAAGTAGATCTTGGTTTAAAAAAGGTTGGGCACCCCTGCTGTAAGCATACTGAGCAATAGTTTCTGGACAAGTAGTAAAAAAGCCATCTACTCACCGTCTACTTCTGCCGTCAAGCCTTTGATGGAAGCTTTCCAAAGAAGATGGAGAAAGAAAAAAACATCAGTGATACTGAATATAAAGGTGGATACAATTTAACAGCCCATAACCAAAAAGCAGCACAATGATTTATTAAATTTTTTTGGTTGTTGTTTTGTATTTTTTGCTGTTTTGATCAAATCTTGACGAGCAAATACCTCCAGGGACAGTTTCAAATTCCGCCATGTCCTGGGTAAAAGTGGCCAAGCCTGGTTCCTGCAACATGATCTGCTCTAGAAGGGCATGGAGCAAGGTGAAATTCCTGTCCTTCCCACGCAGCTGAGAAAGCTGGTGAAAGAGAAAAAGCAAAACCAAAGATTGGGAAAATAGTCAGGCTGACAGAATGTTTAGTTATTACTGTTAAACTTGTCCCTTTAGTTTCTTATTTGAATTTGCAGAACATTGAACAAAAAACACATATCCTACTGAATTTACAAACACAGCTTAAAAGCAAATATTCAATTGGTGAAAATGTGTTTTAACACCACAGATAAGTAAAAAGTTGTTTTATTATTAATTAAAATCTTTTCACAGAGACATATAGTGCATATGCAATATCCATCAAAGTGTAAAAATATCCCATCCTCAATGTTTGTTGTTAGTTTTTACATAACAATCAATGTAAAATCCTTTTTTTGTAGATGTCCTGTTAATTTTAGCATCAAAAAACTGTTCTAAGAATGTTCTGTAGTTAAACCTTAACTTTAAACCTTAAGATTCATTCTGAAATTAAAACACCAGACTCTAGCAGACAGTTAGAGGAATAAAGCAAGCTGCCTAAATAGAGGACACAGTTTTTGCACCTGTAGTTTAGATATGTAGTAACCCTAAAAAATAAATTATTTTTTTATTGCATGAGCTAAGACAGAAATAATTAAGAGAAATTCTAACTTCAGTTTGAATTTTTCTTAGTAGAGAAGAATTCAACATTAGGAAACACATGGTTTTAAAGGAAAAAGGCTGGTCAGCAAGGAATAATCAATGGATCATTTGAAGAGGGAGGATTTGCCATCGAACTTCTAACCAGAGAAAAAAACCCGTAATATGTAGCCAACGTTTGGAAGAAAAATGTTTTCAAGATGACTTGGATAATAGTGCATTGTGACAAACACCAGATACAGCACTGGGACTTGATCAACAGCCGATACCGCACAGTGACATCACAAACCATTAGGTGGCAGTAGTGCTCTTTGACAAACATATCATTTATTGAACAGTATGTAATAATTTTATATTTAAAGTACTTAAAGAAGTTTGAATTCTGAATATGACCGGACTTTTTCATTAATATAACCCTTGGGGAAATACTTCTTGACTCACACTCACAATTTCATATCTATATGATGTAAATAAGAATGCTTTATTCAAGCTTCAATCTAATTTGATCACAATTAAATAGCTTGTACTTTAATAATAACAAAATAAGCAGGGCATGGCTACAGGAGAATACCTGCTCATCTAAAATTCTGCATATCAAGTTAAAGGTACACTATGCAACCGGTGTTGATTTTCCAGCGAGGCTCCCCCCAGAGGGCGAAAGTAAAAGTGCACTGTTGTAAATATGCTCAGCTGTTCTCCTGGTTTCTCCGTCAAGCCAGGCGCGGTTGTTTTGAGCTTAGCAGACAGGCGAACGCAACGAATCACAATGTCTACTGCGGTAAGTGACTATTTTGTTCCAATTTTCGAGTTTGAAAATTTAGCATGTTAACTAACCACGATAACTGCACAAATATCGCCACTGCGCTAGCAACGAGCATGTCTTTCACTGGGGGCGTGTAGCAGTTCTCGCCGTAAAGCAAGACCGACTCTCGCGACGCATGAGACTTCTGAGCCTGTGGGTGCGGGCCGAGGGCTCCTGCAATTGCAAGTACGGTAGTTCCCCTACAGACCACCAGGGCGGCAGAGAAAACCTTTGTTCCACCTGAAATGACTCATTTAATCATCCAAAACGTTATGGAACACATCAATTAACTGAAAAATGTTGCATAGTATGCCTTTAAAAAGAAAATGTAAAAGTTAAAAACAAATGGAACTACTGTGTGCAAAGTGACCTCCAAAGGCCAAAAAAAGATTAAAGTTTGTCTTTTTCATTTTGCACAACAATGAAGACAATAATCGGAGATTAGAAAAAGGTGCAGCTTTGGGATAAAGGTAGTAACCATTAGACCATTACATATATTTTGAGATCTAACATGGAAAGAAAAGGCTTTTTCTGTCTCAACATCAAAAGTTTACCCGTGTGGAAAATAGTTTTGAGACCATCTAAAACCACGTCAGCTGACATCCCAGATTTGCTGGGGTTGGTTTATCCATTTTTCCCAGTGTCCTACACAGAGGTATCAAGTAACAAAGTACAAATACTTCGTTACTGAGTAATTTCATGTTATTCTACGAGGCTAAATAATTTCCTGCTCTTAAAAGGGGGGTTATATGAACCACTGGCAGCAGGATTGCCAATAACTGGGCCATTGCTGATTTTACACAAAGAAGGGGAAAAAAGAAATGTGGGACATTGTGTCTAAATAAATGTACTTAAATTAAATATTTTTTTACTTAAAGTGAGGTAATACCTTTGTGCTAAAATATAATTTTTTTAAAAGCTTTACACTACCCTTTGTAAGTGTAGAATGTTCTGAACAAAAACAGATCAAAACAAAGCAGCTATTGTGTCATAATCGTGATAAACAAATACCAAATTTGATCAGAACTATGTAATAAAAAAGGTGAGAGAAATTTTTCATGATTAGTATTCAAGGTAATACCTGTGATAGAGAAAGTAATGATGATAAAACTCTGATGTTAGAGTTTGTCTAGGCACATAATTGAAATTCATAGAGGATCTCTCTTATCCTTTAAAAGACTCTGTCATTTCTTTCTTTCTAGGTTAGGTTGTTTACCAGCTTAAGTCTCTAAGGACTACATACGCAAGATCTGTACCAAGTATTGATGCTCACCAGCAAAAAAACAACGCCTGATATAACCTCAATGCATTTTCTTAAAAGCTGCTGGTCGTTAATTTGAATAGTCTGTCTTTAGGAGCAACAGTTTACTCTTCTCAATTAGAGCTGGAAACACCTCTGAGGGAGAACAAAGTCTCTGCTTTATTAAAAGAGAGCTGAGCAGGCTTTACCTGATCGCCCAGAACACTGACCCTCAAACTGCAACAGCAGTGGGAGTCACTCCAAATGGTAGCAAGAGCTACGTTCAGAGAAGAAATAAAGTAATAAAAAGAAATATTGCTATTGCCTGAAAAATTTGTATATATTACAGGAGTCATTATCTGGTAATATGAATTTTATGTTAAATATGTTAAAATGTGTGTGTTGATGTTTGGCTTCAATAAAACCCTGGAAAATCCATTGAATTTAGGCTGATCTAGTTTTTGTGTTTGGGCTCGTTTAAAAGACGCAATTTTAGTATTCCTTATGTATTCATGTCAATAATGGAAGGGTACTAGCATAAGCCTGCATTGCTATCACCAGTCCTGTCTCTATTACACCAGAAGCAGCAACTTGTGTAACTTTTCAGTTTACAATAATGTATTCGAGACCAAAAAGGCATTTAAAAGGAACAATGGCTCATCTGTAACAGATCTTTCCCGAAAGGTTGCACAGTTTCTGGGTTTGCATTTGTATATAACGGGTACTTTCTGGGGTTATTGTTGCATTTTATTGCTCCTGTATAATAAATAGTGCATAGTATAAAGACCAACAATACTAAAATACTATAATAAACACAGTTCGATCATATTAGAATGTCTGATGATGGCGTCAGAAAAGCAAAATAACGGGAAGAATGTAAACGCATCCATTTTCTCAGCAAAGTTATTATAGTTTTTTATACTAGGAGGTTAGTATATTTTTTAAATTTAATGATAGAAATAAGTATTTTTGTTACTGCTGTTACATTGTTAAATGTCGACCTGAAGACATGGAAAACATGGAGAAGCAGCTTTTAGTTCCAATGCTCCACTTATCTGGACCAAACTTCCAAAAAAATGTAAAAGTGCGGAAAGCCTGGGTTCCTTTAAATCAAGACTAAAAACACATTTGTTTAGGATTGCCTTCGACTGTTCTAGTTAAACAGCTCAACTAAAACATATTTTCTTTAGTCCAACTGTTTTTAATATTCTTTTTTGTTTCTGTATTTTTTATTTATTTATTTTTTTCATTTGCTTTGATTCTGTTTTATCTTCCTGTGTTTTAATCATGTAAAGCACTTTGCATTGTCTTTGTACTGAATTGTGCTATACAAATAAATTTGCCTTGCCTTACCTTGCCTTGAAGGAAAGTGCAGCATGCACTAATGAGCTGATGGTACAGATTACCTAGTGACGACAGGTCCAGTAATGCTAATGCTAGCCAACCAAAACATTTAAAGGTAAGGTTTTTCGCGAATTTTTTAAAACCTGCCCTCTCCCCTTAAAAAGATGCATGTATTAGAGCGTGCACGAGCCATTTTCTCCTCGTGCACGCTCTGCTTAAAGGTTGTTGTTCTCATAGCTCATATAAGCTTACTGTGCCAGAATGTCCATCCTAACCCCTAATTCCATCAATAATTATATAGAGCGGGGTATATATAGTGGACTTTATAGCGAACTCAGTTATCTGACCATTCAGACAGATGATCACTGCTTTTCGCTCCTCCACTGTGCGGTGCCTGCGCCATCTTTGTTATTAGCCACCGCTGTCGGGTAGTGACAGGCTATGGCGACAGCGGGTCACTATGACAGGAAATCCCATAATGCTTTGCGAGGAGAGCTCTCCGCGCAAAGCATTATGGGATATATCTGTCTCTTCTGAGACCTTTCTTTTCTTCTCATACACTTCGTAGACACTTTTTATCTTATGATAGGGTGACCAAACGTCCGTATTTCCCGGGACATATCCGTATTTCACGTCCTGTCCCGGGCGTCCCGGGTTTGTTTTAGAAAGTGAGGAAATGTCCTGATTTTTTAAATTACCTTAATTGGACCATTAAATTGACAGGCACTACGGCACTGCGCACGACGCTGCGTGTGACGTAATCCCTGAGCCGCGTCAGTGCGGGCAGCCCTGTTCTTAATCAGGATATAGATTGCGTGGCTGTCAGTACGCCAACAACATGCAAAAGTGCAAATGTATGTTTACCGACGATTTACAAAAGAGTTTCCCCGCTTTCAGACCGGGTCGAGACAAATGGGAGGGCTTGTGCACAGTGTGCAAAGCAGGCACATATGTCTCGGTGTCCAATGGAGGTGCAAGGGATCTGAAAAGCCACCTGGACTCCGAAAGTAAAGATAGTCTATTGATATGTTTGTTTGTTTTTGGTACATTTTGAGTTATTTTTTGTTAATTAGCTCATTTGTAAATGTTTAGATGAAACATTATTTCTTTCATTGTGCTTTTCATTCATTACAGGAATTGTTATTCATTTTTAATAAATACATTTTGAAAAAAATTATCGTTTGTTATTGGAGTTATTGCTGTTGACTTTTACTGAGAAGCATTTTTAATAAATCAACTGTAGATATAGACATCTCTCCACCATTTTCAAAGAACCGCTGTGAGAAATGTGACCTTCAGTGGCTGTCGGAGCTCACCACAGAAACACGCCAGATATGAAATCACCAGAATGATTGACAATTAGGAGGACCACTTATTTAGATGATCCACCCGGACATAAAAGATTGTGCTCTAAACCTTTAAGATAACAGTTCAGAGAAAATTTTTATTTTAATCTATTTTTGACTGAAAATGTATTAGAAATATGTTTATATAGTTGATTATTATCAGTAGAATTAACACTAAATCTGAATTAATATAGATGCTCTGCAGATTTTGTTTTATGTTTTTATTAACCAATTTGATGAAAACGTTTTAGATATCACCTTTAAGCCCAACCTAAACCTTGCTTTTAGTTTGATGCCAAGATCAACCTCCATTTCTGAAGCACCAAGCCAGTCATGTCCTTTTTATGCTAAGTTTGATTTCTCCAGGTGATCCAGGCAGTGACACTATCAACGACCCAACTGAACCTACCTGACCCAGAGAAAACAGAAAGATGCCCTGGGACCATGTGGTGTATGTCAACGAGCAGAGCTAGGCTGAGGCTAAACTCAATCAAAGGTCAGACGAGGGTGTAGGAATCGTACTTTGGTTAAAGACGAGAGGCGGAATCCCTTGGCCTTTTCCTTTCCAGCGTTCTCATTCAGGTAATTGCCGATAGCGAGGAGGTACTCCAGCACGGAGACAAATGACCTGCAGTTGTACAGCTGTTGGCACATCCTGATCTTCTGGTTAATCAGCTGAAAGAGAAACAGGAGGAACACAAACCAGAGTCATTTGTTTGTAATTCAAGCTTCATTTGTTCGCAGAAGAGGCTTGTTGGACTCTATACAGAAACACTCAACGTAATTCATTCAAACAATTTTAAACCCCAGTTTTAAATAGCTCTATCACAGCACCTCATTTGAAACCATAAAGTAACTGATTCATTTCCTGATTTTGGGCAGGATTATTGTTTGCTTCGCATTTTTATCAAGTACAAACATCCCTGTAGAATGTCGCAGAAAAGTCCATGTTTAACCATCTCTGAACAGATCCTGTTGAATATGGATAGAAATCAAAAGTGGGATTTTAGATTTTGCCAATAGAAAAAGGAAGTTATTGCTTTGGGAATTACGGCACTTGAAAAACCTTTTTTTTTTTCTCTCCCCACTAAATAAGGCCCATGCCAGCCAGCAACAACAATCCAGCCATATGTTCCTATTTTAGGAATAACCTCCATAAGCCTCCAATTGGGACAGCCTCAATTAAACTGAGAAGGAAGCAGATATCCATCTACATCATTTAATTTGGCTCTGCACAAGAACATCTGTAAAACTGAAAGAAAAGAAAACTATGAGAGCAGAAATGTGCTTCTATTACTTTATAGACAGATTATATAAATACATTTCTTGTGATTTCTTCTTCAAGAGAAGTAAATAAGATTCCTATAAGTCAGTTTGTAGTATTTACATATAAATGTATATTAATGTCAAATTAAATTACATTTAGATTAACCCCAAAAACTTTAATTACAAATTAATTATAAAATTAGTACTATTAGCCTATAGATATTTGGTTTGTTTCACGGTTTTTGTAAACAAGGTACATGTTTTGTCGATAAAATCTTAATAGATTTATTATTTATAATTGTAACTTCACTGTTTTCTCTGATTTTATCTTTTTCTTTTTTTGCCCCCAAATTTCTCTTATTAGTTTTACAAATCACAAATTATTTTGTCAGACACATTTATAATGGTCTGCAAGGATGTTAGCAACAAAGAGAACAACAAAGAGAATATGAGCTGTCATCTGATCTGACTAAACTTTAATTTGAAAAAGAAAAGAATGGGAAAAAAAATCAAATCTGAAAACATCAAATCTTAATAAAAAGAACAGAGAAAAAAGCGAACTTTGAAAAAATATTATTTAAAATGTAAATTATAAAAAATGTATTTAAAATGAAATAATTCGAAAAAGTCAAATCAAGGCAAACAACAAATTTTTTTCAAATCTTTTTTAAAAGTTTTGATTCTGGATTGCATTTTTTAAAATATGCATAAAAAAATATTCTTTTTTTCATTCCATATACATAAATCACTTTGTTTTATACAATTTATTTAATTTTCTAAATGTTTAGTTATTTATCAACTGCAATAAATAGAATCAGCTTAAATTAATTGAGTAGAATGATTTTTATTCTATGAGTAATGTGTGTCTGGGAGTGGGAACTTATGGTAATTGCAGGCATAATAGAGGATAACTGAATAAATTATAATTTCTGAGAGGAAATAAAAAAAAAATATTTTATGTGTTTAATTCTGTTAGACAATAAAATAAGCAGTTAATCTAAAAATAATTACCTTAGGCAGATCTTGTTTTTCTATGTGGGCTATGTACGGTGGCCCTGAAGTGCAGAATGCAGCTACAAATCTAAAAGCGCAATTACATTAAGGAAATCGCAACTAAATTAAGAAAAACAAAACTACATAAAGCAAAGCGCAACTACATTAAGAAGAACAAAACTACATAAAGCAAAGAGCTACTACATTAAGAAAAACAAAACTACATAAAGTAGAGTGCAACTACATTAAGAAAAACACAATTACATTAACCTACCGGAAAAGGTAGGTACCAGTGGGAAACATGAGACATCGCTGATTGGATGACGGCGCCGTTTGACCCTGGAACCGGAAGTTGCGTTGTCTGAACAGTCCAGCTTCTTTTAAGTGTGTCTTCAGTGTACGCAAACTAACTGAAATTTGGTGATTAGTCTTGAGCATATCCGGTATCACCTCGTACGTATGTCCTGATTCAAAATATTCCTGGATAACGGCAGCTATGTTTGGGGCGCCGACAATATCCATGTTTTCAAAAGCCGCAGCAGGCAGAATGAATTCCGGTTCAAGGGTCAAACAGCGCCGTCGTCCAATCAGCGATGTCTCATGTTTCCCACTGGTACCTACCTTTTCCGGTAGGTTAATGTAATTGTGTTTTCCTTAATGTAGTTGCGCTTTGCTTTATGTAGTTGCGATTTCCTTAATGTAATTGCGCTTTTAGATTTGTAGTTGCAGTTTGCACTTCAGGGCCACCGTAGCTATGCTTAAACAATGCGATTTTGGTCTTCATTCTGTATTAATGTCAATAATGGAAGCTTTGTTATTTAAAGGCAATTGTTTTCAGTATGGTTTACCGCAGTTAACTTTTTTGTTTTAACTGTTTCAAAGACTGGACAGAGTGGGTGTGAAAACTTTTTTTTTAAATCATTTGATAACCACTGTCTGCCACAAAGATCGATCTGGAACACAGCATCCACCTCTTAGACTCTAGTGAAATGTTTAATTTAAATCCTTAGATTTTCCCAAGCAGGACATTCAGTCAAACCAAAAAAAAAGACAAACAAACCCTGAAAAAAAACAAAGATGCTCAAGCTTTTGTCTCTCTATGACTGAATGCAATGTCTGAAATCATTGCATTTGCTCATGCCATGCAGCGCATCGCAGCTTTAGGGGACGCCTCACTGTCGCTGCACTACCAGCTCAAGCTGCGTAACTTTGACGTTTTCTTCAGCATATGGCATCAAACTGGGCACATCAAACAGTTTAAAGAAGGAGCCGACGTCTACAAGTAAAACCTGTCATCCTGGAAACAAAAACAAAAAAAAGATCATCCCAGGTGAGGATGACCCCCCGTCTAGGGAATGTGTTTCCTCTCTGACAGGCAGCATGTAAATCATCTTAGTGTTCAGGCTGTATTAAAGCCAGAATTCAGGGATTTAGGGTGGCTAATAGGACACTAAATGTTGAACACAATGTACAAAGATGAAGGATCAGGATTTTTTATGTTTTTTTTGTTTGTTTTTTCTTTTATCCCCAAGCGCATGCATGCAAATCCGGTAGTTAAGATTGAGTGACCTTTCTTAAATAAATTTGAGGAAGGAGAAAGAAAACAACAACAGAAACAAGGAGCCAAGAGAAAATTGAAACATAATGAAATTGCTAATCTTTCTTCTGGAGTCATCTTTCCCGGCACGCAATATGTTTGTCTCTTTGTGTGAGACAAAGAAAAATTAGTATCGCCGTCAATGGATCACACAGCCATCGTTCTTATCTGCTGTTTCTCTTCATTTTCAGACAGTTAGCAGACAGGAGATTAGAGCTGGATCGGCGGTGCAGAAACAAACCAAGCTTTTTGAGAATCAAATACAAAATAAAACCTGAGGGAGCTGGGAGGGGCTTTCAGTGTGAATGCAATATCTTCACAGCCTGCGGAGTCCAACGCCAATAACAACGATCCACCAGGAGAATGTTAAAAAATAATCTGACTAATGATACACTTGGAAAGTCTGGGTACTCAAATTGAACGAGACTAGAAGAGATTCTTTTAACATTTAAAGATTATAAAGAAATATATTCTTTGAAAGTAACTTTTTTCATTTGACTCAGCCTGAACCAATCAAACCCCTTAAGAGCGGCAGGCCCAGTACAGATCCCAACTGGCACCTGTTCATGTTTATCCATTCATAGAAATGGCCAAAACACAGTCACATGGTGTTTCATCCACATGCCTTTCAATTAAAACAGAACAGAAACAGGCTGCTGTGGACCTGCAGTGATAGCGGGTAAAAGGGGCTTGGGGCACCGCCCAATAACTGATACTCTCTGGTTTAAAAGTTCAGTCCATCCTCTCAATTATAGGCCGGATCACCGATGCGCCGCCAATGACATGCGGCCTGAGCAACTCAAAGTGTCCCTGATGCTGCAGTCTCTGATAACATGCATGCAGCCGATCCAGGTCAGGGGAAGACAGAACAGGCAGGAACAGTTCTAAGATCCAGGGGTCAGTAGTCCGACCAGGGGTTCCGATCCGCAGAGGAACAGATAGATCCTTGGTTTCTGGATTCCTCAGAGCATTTAGGCAGGCATAGAGTCAGACAGATCCAGAGGCATGCCCCGAAAGACACGCACAGATGCAGACGGGCAGGCTTAATGGTTGGGAGAAGAGACAAGACATTGTTCCAGGATTTATGCAGGACTTTAAACTGGTCTCCTCCTTGGACCCAGGCTTACGGGAATAAAACTGACTTTCTCTGCTTTCCGAGCAAAAAACCCTGAGGGCTCCGCAGAGAAGGACCAAGACAAGATCAGAAGACAAGACAGACAACAAAACCCTCTCACTCTACTGGCCGCCAGGAACCAGAATATGAACCTTATTTAATCGGTTCAGCCCGATCGCTCGGGTTATAAAGCACAGACGCAGGTGGAAAATTAGGAACCTGGCAGAACTAGGCAGGTGAGTGAAATTAACAATTAAATTGAAGCTATCAGGAGAGATCATGACAAAACCATGTTTCAAAATTATTATTTAACAAATACCTTTGGTTTTATAGCTGTGCAAACAAACAAAATTAAATTTAAAATTCCACCTGTCGTATGTGACTCTGCAGGAGTAATGCAACAACAGGTATATATTTTTAGCCACAGCCTCATTTTTAGCCACACCCCTATTGGCTGTAACCAGCATGCGTTACATAAGCTTCCACTGTTATTCTTATTTTTTATCCTGTGTGGCGATATTATTGGTAAATTATGATTGAAAAAATGGCTAAATCTTAGGAGCAAAGGCTTTGTCTTATGCAGAAGGTCTCCAATTATGTAAATCAGCATATTTTTCATGCCAGATTCCCTTTTATGATTGGAAAAATACACTTTTGCACTTTGGCTTTGTGCCAAAATCACATTCTAAGCACACTGCCCACTAAAACATTTGTGGAACAAACATGTTTCAACTTATTTAGTCCAAATTAGCTTGAGTAATAGTCAAGGCTAAATATTTTTCATTTTTTCTTTGATTAATCATCTGTAAATCAGACATGGTGACCTTTAAAACATTGGTTCCACCTGAAAAATATTCTTCAATGCCTTTCAGTCATACAAATACAAATAATTGTATTTCCAATTTATAGTTTGGAAGCTGTACTTGCTTTAATTCACATACCTAAAATCAGGCGGAATTTGCTCCTAAGACCCTCTGGGCTTAAGGGGTTTTAAAAAACTGAAAAAAGAGCAGGAGTTAGCGGAAAGTTTCCGTGTCTGCTATGGTTAAAACAGAGTGGCTTTTTAAAGCACTTTTATGCAACCTACAGAGCAATTGAACTTGATTTAATTAAGATCCATCTCTTCTGTTTTGAAGTGAAGTGTCTTGAAGTGCGAACCTTTCTATTAAGACTATTAACCAGCCAACGGAACAGAATATGTATTTAAATGACAACTTCAAACTTTAATGTTAAAGTTTGAAGAAAAAGCTTTTGTGTAATAATTTCAACTCATCCACAGATGGTCTATTTTAAACTTTTATGCATTCATAAAGTCATAATCAAGGTTTGCATAAGATAATAAATTGGCTGAATGTGTGTGTTTGCTGGGGAGGAAGCTTTTCATTTATTTCCTTACAGGTGGAAGGATCTGATTTTAAAACATCCAAGTTTGTCATTTCATCCCTTGACCTCCATTCTTAGCCCCCCCGCCCTACGTTTCTGTCCTTACAAACTGATCCTGCTGGTGAGGTGAGGCCAGAGGGAAATACCTCATAAAAGAAGAGATTTTCTTTTTTTCTTTCTAACTTGGAAAAGCAGCAGTAAGTGCAATAATAAATCTATTTCAAGGATGTAGCTTCCTTGTGGCAAAAACAGAAAAGTTATATTAGTCATCACTTGTTAATATTCCACACTTTCACTTCCTTAGAATAAACTTTCCTGCATATATTAAAAGGTAGAGTGTAGTGTCATTTAAGTAGTGTTATATTTCCCATTTGTTTCTTTTTGCTAAAATAAACCATCATTAAATGGTAATTAAATGTATTTTTTCTTGAAATAATCACTTTTTTTATTTCAGCAGGTAGGTAAGATCATTTAACATTGGAAAAGAAGAAATATCATCTTGTTTGAAGAACAAAAATATAAATTTCTTTGGTAAATCATCTTATTTACCTGCTCAAATAACAGTAAATACACAAATTGTCAGGACTCCAGTTTGTGTGTTTGTCTTTTGTGTTGTTTTCCCTTTCACCAGCAGGAGGCGCCTGGTTCCAGTCCGCCTCCTCACACACCTGCTGACGTTTACCTCATTAACGGAGTGCTGCTGATTGTCACTACCTCGACACCAGAGTGTTTGCCAGTTTTTGGTACTCTAGCCAAGCTGAGTTCTCACTGAGTTAGACTGAGTTCTTGTCTCCCTGAGATTTAACTTTTGTTTTCGTTTTTGTCTTTGCCTCTCGGCAGGAAGTCATCCTGCAGAATTGACCTTTTCGGACCTTCTCTCCCAGGAGGGATCAACTGAGTCCTAAACTGAGCGACGGATTCAAACAGGAGGTTTGGATCCAGTCTTCTTTGAGGACGTTGAAATTACTCTCTGAGCAATCATTTCACCATGACCCGTTCAAGTACAGTAGGAAATCTGAGTGGCAATCAGCCACCGTCCGACAGAGATGGGAGGTAACTAAGTACAAATACTTCATTACTGTACTCAAGTAGATTTTTCTGATATTTTTACTTTACTTTACTACTTATTTTTATGGCGACTTTTTACTTCTACTCCTTACATTTTTACACAAATATCTGTACTTTCTACTCCTTACATTTTAAAAAATTGGCTCGTTACTTTAGTTTTGAATCATTTCAATGGAGTTACCGTTATTATTTTTCACGTCATCAATACCAAATTCAATCTAATTGGATGGGAATCTACGTTGCATTTGACGCACCACTACAAGATGTATCGACAGATTCGGCGGTATTCATTGGCGGCAAATCATTGCAGCTTGGTGGCGGTGGCGTTAGCATAGTAGCATGGACGACGAGATGATTGAAAATGAACACAACGGAGATCTAGTCCTATTGGCAGACATCCATTTAAAATGTAGGCAACGGCATGAAAAAAGTGGTTTCTACTTTTACTTTTATACTTTAAGTAAATTTACAAGCCTGTACTTTGTTACTTTTACTTGAGTAAAGAAGTTTAATCAGTACTTCCACTTTTACAAGAGTATTTTTTTAACACAAGTATCTGTACTTTTACTCAAGTACGGAAAGTGAGTACTTTTGCCATCTCTACCGTCCGAGTTCTGGGTAAACCCTGTTCCGCCCTCCGCCGAATCAGACATACACTGGAAAACCAACACACAGATTGGAGTCTAGGATCCTTAACTTCTCTGGAAACGTGAGTCAACAATCAGGTCCTCTCCTTAAAGATCAACGAAGCAAATTCCCCACTGATCCTGAACTAACAGTCTGTCTTCCCCTCGTCTTCCAGTTCCGGCTGAGCAGAGTTCAGAGAGACTCTGCGCTGAGCTTAAACCTCTTCAATAAAACCCGTTGAACTTTTCATCTGTGTCTCTCTGTTTGGACTTCTGCATTTTGGGTCAGACCTTAGTTAAATCATGACACAAATTTTAAGTATCATTCGACTCTTTTACATCAGTTTCTGCAGTGCGACGTCTAATCAATTTCTCGTGATAATATGTGCCGAAAGAAGAGACCCATTCATCCCTTGACCCAATTTGACCGTAACAAAATTTACTTTAACAATTATTTAGAGATTGAAGTTAACTTTAAGCTTCAGCTTTATCATTGCTTTCATCTTTTGGATCAGGATTCTGCAACTTTAGCTTTGTGGCTAAATTTATTTACTAATCAATGCTCTTTTGACCTGTTTGTTTGTGTGTATGTGTGTGTTTGCTTGTTAATCTTTCATTCTGCCCCCCTAATAACCCCCCCTCCCAAAAAAAAACGTATAAGCTTCTTTCCCACCGCCAGCAGACAGCTGAACTGTTGAGAGAAAAATTTAAATCATGTCACAAACTCTGCATCAAACTGACAACACCAAACCAGAACACTGCATAACTGCTCCATATATATTAATAATCTGAACGTCCATATTGATGTGCTTTTTGTGGCATTTTTTTATTTTTTTATCCTCCCACACTGCTTATATTTGATCACTAAACTTTAAGAAATGGAAATGCCATGAAAGCTGTACAAAATGACAATAAAAGTTGACAAACTCTAAGTCATTTCTGTTATCTAAGGGATACTTTTTAAAATAATTGTCTCTGTTGTTCCTCTGCTATATAATTCTCACCTCGATTCAGCACACACTGGCAAATAAACATGTTTCCATGATAGAGGAGTGTTCTGTGTCTCTGTTGGAGTTTTTAACCACCACCCGAATTAAATGTCAAGGAATCTGGAAACGGAAGAGGAAGTGAACTCACAGGCTGCAGGTCGTTCATGCTGATCGGGAGCTCTCTCAAAGTCAAAAGCAGGTCGAGTTGTGTGCTCAGGTAGGGGATGTTACACATCTGCAGCAGAGAAAACAGATGAGGCTAATGAATACATGGAGATAAGAGAGTGCAATTATCACACCATCAGAACACCCATTTCCATGATTATTCAGAAAGATCTAAAGCAGCTGTTTATACTCCATCTGCAGCAGGTTCTTTCAACCGATTCCTGCTGCGCTGCAGGTCTGTTGACAGGCCGATTTAACAGACAAACTGAAGGCTTGACACCTTGAAACGATTGGCTGGGCCGCCTGGTCGACCTTTGTGTCTGAGCTAACCTCTAATAAATCACTCCACATTGTCAGAGCGTCTCGCTCGTGCTCACATATCATCTCCCCAAAGCCAAAGGGCAGTCGATCTGACAGATACTTAAGGAAAGATACTGGATTGGTGTTAGAAAAATCTCAGCAGTGATTTTCCTATTTTCTCCAACATATAGAAGCAACATTCGGATAAAATAAGGCTTTTCCTTCAATGTTACAGAGTTTTATGCACCAGTATATAATAAAAAATCACCTTTCCAACATGTTCTGCAATTATTTACATTTACATCAATTAGAAGGAAGCAGCCAGGTGTTACTAATCAAATGCACTTGGTTAAGTGATCAATCATCAGCGGAACCGCCACCATAATAACAGGAGTTTATGCAGTTTGCTTCTCTGAAGCGTGAAAGGGTTAATTAATACACTATCCAGGCCAAAACTCCTTATCGACACACTGATTCCCATGGATCAGCCTAGGAAGAGATCTAAGTAAATGTGGCAACATATTCTCATTATCAGTTCGCATGAAATCGTACGAAAAGTTATGCACAGTATTTCGTATGTTTTTGACGTTTTTCCTCGAAAAAACAGATCAGTGCGCATGCGCAGCAATAATTACTTCTTGATGTCTCTCACTAGGTTGCTTGCTGTTTTGTATCTTAGGGTTAGGGTTAATTGTATGTTAATGTCTATGTTATTTAACGGTGCGTAAGATGCGCATGCGCAAGGATATCTTGTCTCGAGGCAAGACGTAAAAATACGACAAAATACGATGAAAAAGACGTCAAAAATGTATGAAATTACTCTGCATAACTTTTCGTACGATTTCATACGAACTGATAATGAGAAAACACTGAATGTGGAAATATGACATCCACCATAAAAAAGAATATACCCTACCTTTCATCAAATCACGAAAACCACGCCCACATTCCAAAGTGACAGCCGGAAGTCCCGCCTCAATTAATATAAAATTAATATAAAATTAATATAAAATTAATATAAAATTAATATAAAATTTATATAAAATTAATATAAAATTTATATAAAATTAATATAAAATTGATATAAAAATGAACTATGTTATTTTAATAATGGTTATGAATAATAAAACAGCCGTAAGTCCCGCCCTATCCCATCCCCCACTTCCGTCCACTTGCCCATCCCCCACATCAGCCCATCCCCCACTTCCGTCCACTTGCCCATCCCCCACTTCCGCTTCTCTTAACGTATAAGACCCTTCCTCCGACCTGCATAGTCATTGAATCCTTTCCAACATGGCTCCAGTA